ATGTATGTATGTATGTATGTATGTATGTATGTATGTATGTATGTATGTATGTATGTATGTATGTATGTATGTATGTATATGAGTTGAAATCAACTTTAATCTTCAAATGTATTGTACTGTAATACTTCCTCGGCTGTATAGGTAAGTGTTCCAGGCAAACCAAAGAGGTTTAATTATCGCTGCTGAAGGTGAAAAGGCGATTATGTCTCTGTTGGTTTGTCTGCCGTGTTAGCAAAATATCTCATGAACTGATTTTTATTCAAACTAAAGTGTAATAATTGGATGTATGTGTGAATAACTTTTGGCAGTAATCTCATTCAACATTGTGGTCTTAGGTAATTACCCATAACCATCTTTTTGACAAATGTATCTATACTGAGCTACAGTTTAATGTGGTAGTAGCTGAGAGTTCTCTTCAACTCATACTCTGAGTGCAAACGTATCTTGCGAGATCTCTGGACCTCGCATGACATCTTGCATAAAGGTATTTTACAAAGTTTGACTGAAACGGCTCCAACTGCCGTCATTTCTCAACATAAGATCTTTAAACTCTGGCCTGAAAGGTGGTGGGTGATATGAATTCCCTCAAGACCCTAAATTGGTCTTGTTTTATTTATCTCGTGTTTCTGTCTGAAACCTTTTTGTTTATGATAAACATCAGAACCTCAGTGTAGACAGACAAACATGACATGCATGTACTGGTGTTATTTGATCCTCCTGACCTTGTTCTTTCTTTGTTCAGGTAAAACTCCCTGTCTGGTCTGTATGAACCATCGCACCAATCAGAGTGTCAGCCTGCCTTTTGGCTGCCGTGGACGCTTTTGCACGCGCTCTCCTATGGAGCAAGGCATGCTGGGAGGGGAGCACACAATACGCACCATCATCGAGCGAGTTCGCCTTCCGGTCAACGTGACTGTGCCCTCACGGCCGCCGCGAAACCCCTACGACCGCCACTTGGTGCGAGAAGGCCACCGCTACAAACTGCTCAACATCGTAAGCAAGACTGTGGTGCTCTGTTTGGTCCTCCGCCGACAGGAAGTGTCTCCCTCTCACTTCCTGCTGCTGCGCTGCATGCCCCGTTTTAATGTGGCCGAGGCCTCCGTTCACGCAGCAGCGTTGGAGAGCCTTCTGCTGCGGCACACCTTCGACCCAGATGCCTACTCTCATGCTGTTAGAGAAACCCGACCTGAGCTGGAGTGTATGACAGAGGAGTGTGTGAGCCCACGGCACTCGCGCCTGTGTGTGTCAGGCCAGGACTCGCTGGCCCCGGCGCTGCAGCGCCTCTCCATGTGCGGCTATATCAGTGGGGTGTCAGAGAGTGTATCGCAGCGCTGCAGGGACTCTCTTGGAGAGCAGCTGGGGGAGGGGCCAGGTGAGGAACGGGAGTATGTGACTCCTGAGTGGACTGAGGATGAGATGAGGACCAGTGAGGAAATCCCTTATGAGGAACTCTGGACAAATCAGAACGCAGAGGGCTTGGGGAAAGAACCAAACCTTATATCCTTCCACACGTCTTCCTCATTGGACGGTTCTCTTGGTACCGTGGTGACACGAGTGTCCACCCCTCCTCCTATACCTCCTAAATCTGATGCTGTGAGTGTCCCCACCTTACTGTCCCTTCCGTCATCCTGTCTCTCATCTGTCCACAGCAGCATCCGGCTTTTAAAAGTAAAAATGCTTGGCGTGAATTATTAATACATTACAGCTTTTAAACCTTGCTGACACACTCAGACACACAAACACACACTCATTTCCTGGAAAGGCTTCTGCATACTGCCTCTGCTTAGAATACTTACAGTACAGAGGAGCGACAAATAGAATCAAAACACTAAGTTGCTTATGTTTGGTGCAACTATTTTCACTTGAAGACAACAATTCTCCAATAGATGTTCAGCTGAAACCTGATGAAATCTGTTGTCGTTGTCATCAAATCATTCAGTGGTGCCTACAGATAGGCCTGTCACGATAACAAATTTTGCTGGGCGATTAATTGTCTCAGAAATGATTGCGATAAACAATAATATTGTTTGAAATTTGACAATAATTAGTAATTATTGTCAAATTTAAGAAGAAATGTTGGCTAATTTTTGTGTGTAGTACCTTTTTTGATCACTTGATGGTAATATGAGACTTTGATAGCGAGGGAGCGAGCAGCGTGTCTCTAAGAAAAACGGGAGGGAGGCCCCTTGACGTGACATGGGCTGTCTCTGGTGCCTGTTTTTCAGATCTCAAAATGGCGGACGCTCAGTGTGGTTTGAGCTCTTTAGCATAACATTTATCACACAAAGCTTTTAATAAAAAAATCAGTAAACAAGTTCTCAGCTTCTTTTTGCAGAGAAAAACAACTTTTTACACAAAGGCACGGGTTCGACCGTGAATTTTGGAGCTTCGACAAGATGGAGGTTTTTTCCCGAGGTCGGCCTGTTAGCTTAGCTCGTAGCTTAGCGTCTCAGCTTAGCTGCTTTTAACGATCCAAAAACGTGATTTTGGATCGTTAAAATAGATTTTAAAGAGAAAGGGAGGGGTCAGTGAAGAGCACCGGAGTTGAGCTTTTTGTCATCCAGTGTCTTCAGTAGAAAGAGAGAGACGAAGAAACGATAAATGAAAATGAGGTCGATTATTTTAATTTATCATGCGATGAATTGATTTATCGTTTATCGTGACAGGCCTAGCTACAGATTGAGACGTGCTGGAAAAGACCATTCCCTGCTGAAAAGAAATGTTTTGATGGTCGGAAAGAAAAATAAATGTGTGTGTGCTAAAATACCTCGTGAATCACTGAACAAATTCGATTCAAACTCACCATTTCATTATATTCATTGTTCTTACATTCAGTTTGAAGAACCAAGATAAGGTTTGGAAACATGAAACAATTTCAGAAAAAAACCACTGGTAGTTTAAAAAGAACATTTTATACCGGAGTAGATTTAGATGCAGAGGTGGTTACTGTTGTCATATTTAGTTGTTCCTAAGGAAAAGTGTTATGATGTTTGTGTATGTGGTGCCTGCAGACGCTGCGTTATCGTGTTTTTGCTTCATTTACCAAACTTTTTTTTTTTTTTTCTGCAGAGCTTTGTGTGGGTGTGGACATCTGCTTAGCAACTGGATTATAGCCTGACACGGTGTTCCTCATTCCCTGATATTTAGCCTGCCACCACGGTGTTTGCATGCATGAGTGTGTGTGCAGCCATTGTGAGTGTGCGTGTGTGTGTGAATGTGTGGGAGTTTGTTTGAGGTCTAAAGGTCACCAAGTTTGACATTTACCAAGCGGAACACACACTCGCATAAAACCTCCTGAGAAGTTAGTTTAGTTATTGCTGACGTGTGTGTGTTGTTATTATTGTGCTTGTGTGTGTTTTCATGTAGGTCAGGGAGGAGTGCCGCTACTTGATCGCCCCTCCGGTGCCCCCCCGCTGCTCTAAAGGAGGCTCCATCTCCAGTCCAACCCCCAGCCCTCCTGTTCCATCTCGCTTCCCCAAGACATCCACCTCCCCAAGACCGAACCTCTCCTTTTACTCCTCCGGACTGCATGACAGGTACTGTATAGCTTGTTTTTACTGAAACCTGCACTGACCAACAAAAAAAAAAAAAAACATTTATTTGCTTTATTTTACATTGATCTACTGAGAAGATCACCAGTCTTTTCTAGCATCAGTGAAAAAAATAATTTATAGCAGCAGCAGCAAAAGTTGTGTAGTGTTAGGTCTGGAAATGTTTGCACTTAATATGAAGAATTAAAACAAACTCTCTGCTTTATTTAAAAGGTGATTATATCCAAAATGGGGGAAAGGACATTTCAGCAATTTACTGTCTACCGTACATGAGAATGCTCCCAGATCTTCAGCGTTAAAAAAAAAGCAACAGAGTTCGATCGTGGCAGATTTCTGCTGTGGTTTAAAACATTATTAACTTTTATTTAATCAGGCAAATCCCTCTGAGATCACAGATCTCTTTTGCAAGGGAGACCTGCGCCTGAAGGCTACGCATGACACGCGTGTTTTTGGACTGTCAGAGGAAACCGAAGTATGTGGAGAAAACCCGGACAAACACAAGAAGAACATTCAAACTCCACACAGAAAGAGATCAGGTCCAAACTGGGGGTTGAACCCAGGTCCTTCTTGCTGTGAGGCAACAGTGCCAACCACTGAGCTGCCTAACATGAAACATTCCATTCTCCAGGAGCTTAAAGAAAAGAGTTTAATAGAACAAATACAATCAGTTCACCTCAAGAAACAAAACTACATATGAACCTAAAGAACAGAAAGACTTTTAATGGAAGTTTAGACCTTCAACAATGTTTTCTGTATTAGTTCTGGAACAGTTTTCAGATAAAACTTTGATCAACTTGTTCCAGAACGACAAGATAAATCCGAGCTACAGAAATGTGCTCTTTCTGACAAACTGCAGAGTATTTGTTGAAAAAAACTGAAACTAATTATTTGTTAAAACCAGCGAAGCAAAAGCTAGAATTAGCAACACGCTAGTTAAAAGCTAAACTTTTGAGTCCTTGATGAAGATAGTTCTTTAGTTTCTGAACTCGTCTTACATTTTATTTGTGAAAACTCACGTTTCACGAGAACGAACAATTTAAACCTAATTTTATCACTGATCTTGAGTTCTTTTCTAACATCCTTTTTTGTTTCAGTACAAATTCATCTGTTTTTCATTCAACCTTTATTTAAACAGGTTAATCCCATTGAGCCTCGAGGACTCATGTACAAGAGAGACCTGGATTTTAACAAAGAGTGGTGACGACAACAATCACAAATTATTCATACAAATTTAAGTTGTTGTTTTTTTTACAGTTGAAAACAAAATGATAATTAAAAGGAGAAAGAAACGTAGCGAAAAAACATCTAGATCATTTATAAGTCCAGACCTTATTATCAAATGTTATCAAATAAATTGTCTTATTTTTTTTTAGCAAACTTTTTAACTTTTGAGACAAAAAGTTGTTGATTTAATAGATTAAAAACATACAGTCTCATAAAAAAGTTTTTTTTTAATGTACTTCTTTACCAGAAGAAGTTTTGACGTCCATGAGAAGTCGTTCATTGAACAACACGTCATTACCAAAAGTCAAATAAAACGAATTGTTAAAATAAAAGTTCTTGTCATGAAGAATCTTGATCCTGACAATTTTTTTATTTAAATATTGGGATTGTAAAGGAACCAACATGAAGTGATGTTTTTCATTCGTTTTTAATTATGATTATAAAACGGATCTTAATGTCGTGTTTTTCTCCGCTCCAGCTGCTCGCCCTCTCCCGACGCCACCCTCTACTGTTACCCGTGCTCCTGGACAGATTGTCCTGCTCCTAACGCAGCCAGTCCTGAGCCGGTCCCTGCAGACAACACGTCCAACTCTCAGCCTGCGCAGGCCGCCTGGGCAGAGCCATGGGTAGATCCCTACACCCCCCCCGCACCCCGACTCAGGCCGCCGCCCCCTCAGAGTCGCTTTGCTCCCTTTGGCGCGTTAAACCCGTTTAACCGTCAGTCTCCTTGCCCCTCGCCTGAGCCCGCTGCTAACTCCGCTACAGATTCCTCCAGAGGCGCAGAAGGTGGTGGAACGTCAACAAACGTCACCGACGGGTCAACCCCGCCTCCTGACCCCACCTGGAGACCCCCTGCTGACCTGTCTGCGCTCTCGTTGGAGGAGGTGTCAGCGTGCCTGCGGTTCATCGGCCTACCCGAGGCAGCGGTGGCGGTGTTCCAGAGGGAGCGAATAGACGGCAGCCTCCTGGTGCAGCTGACCGAGGACATTCTGTCACATGATTTTCACTTGAGCCGACTACATGTGACCAAAATCACACAGTTCATCCAGGGCTGGAGGCCGAAGATCTAACACTCACTCTGCTCTGACAACGTGCCTGTTGGCTTCTGAGCCTCCCTGAATGTGCCTTCCACTGCAACCAACTGGTGGCCAGTCCCTCTGGTGGAAGCCTGAGGAAATCTCGCCACACTGTGGTTAAACTGTAGAACTGACTGTCAATCACAGACTGGAACTAGTTTACTAACATTGGCTCAAATGGAAGCTACATGATGAAAATGCCCCTTTAGGATTGAACCACAGCGCAGCTTAGCAGAGTTTTAGACACTATGTGGACATTTGTGGCCCTCACACTGTGTTCAAAATAAAATCTAAGAGGAACAAGCTTTCCTTTAATGTACAAAAGTAATTTGACACATGAGCATAATTTCTGCAGGTCTTAGTTACTGTGTAGTTCACACAGGCGCTCCGTGAGTTTCACATCTACGGTGCTGACCAGTGTGGTAGTAACACAGTTATAAAGCCAGTATACCACTGGGCTGTGACGGCTGGAGACCAGCTGGAAAATGGCATTCACAAGAGAGTCTCCAAAATGTCTCAAACCATTTCTGGGAGGATTTAATTTTCCTGTCATAAACTGTAAAGGCTCGCAACACTGTTGTTTGAATTTTAATATGGACTGTTCTTGTTTGCATGTTCTCTCCGTGCAGGCGTGGGTTTTCTCCGGGTACTCCGGTTTCCTCCCACAGACTGAATAAAAGGGGCAGAAGATCGGAGCTGAGGGCGTGTTTGTATTTTTATGGCCGTCAAAGCGCATTAAAACCATGCTTCTGCCTGCATTCTGCATTATTCAGACACGGGCCCTGCTCTGACATGTCTGCTTTGGGATCTCAGCTGTTTGGGTCATCGGCCGCGTGCGTCCACTGAGTGCAGCGGCTGAACGTCCATTTGGCCGATGGATCGCTTCCTGGCAGTATAGTCCCATCTGAAGCTTAACTGAACTTTATTTTACCTCCTTCAAGGCCGATCAGCACACGGTCAAACGACTACGTGCGGTTGTATGGCAAGCCATGTTGTCATATAATTGGATCGTCAGCCGCATGACTTCTGGACATGGGCACCTGCAACCAGGAAAGGAAGAAGGGGTTAAAGATAATGGATGGATGGGTTACATAGTGCCTTTTAGCCATCCAGACTACACAAAGTGCTTTACAACACAATCTGTGTGCTCATTTTCCCACCCACCTGTCCACACACACATTTATACAACAATCTACTCCGACAGTCTGAATAAATCTTTTTATAGAGACTAATCAGTGCTTTAGCTCACAGCCATACACTGATGGGACACATCGGAGGCAACAAGGGTTTCAGCCTCTTGCCCAGAGACACTTCGACATATACATACTGTCGGGAATCAAACCGCCGACACTTGCTGGTGCACATCTGCTCTACGTACGTTTTCGCTCGTTATCACAGAGTGGTTGTGAGCATCTCCAACCCTTCTTGAGCGCGCTAGAGCTTTATTTCGACGCCTAAACCCACTATGAATAATAATGATTATAAAACTGATCGCCCTGTCTTCATTTCAAAGCGTTTAGATTAAATCAAAGATGTGGGGGCGGCTGCCAAGGTGGGGCCACAGTGACCTGAGACGGTTATGATGTGGGTGGAAGTGGACAACAAAACACTTCAATGTATGCGACTAAGAATGCAGGTTTATGAAATTGTGTACACACAAAAAAAAGTGTGATTTTTAAAAACAGATCTCGGAGCGGGGGCTGCGCGGCTCGCTAACATTTGGAAGGCATCAACTTTTGTTTAGTTATCGCAATTTTGAGTCTCCGGCTAGTCTCTAACAGTCACAGCCCAGTGAAACACCACCTTTTATACTGGTTTATTGCACAACTGTCCTTCTCACTGACATTTGGTGACGTGTAACTGGCACAAATAGCAAAGTCAGAAACTTTCAAAAGAAAGCTAGTTCTTTCTAAAAGAAGCGTTCAGTAAATGTGAATTGTAGCATCCAATAAATGAAAAAACAGCTGGAAACACCTCTAAATTGTAAATGTGACTACGGGACATTTTGTACTTTGTGCTTTGTTTTAAAAAGAATTTCTTTTTTGAGTTGGACAAGCTGTGTTCTTCTGTCTAATGTCAGAGACGTGAAGGTGTTGCCACGATTATATATATAATATATTATATATCTTAATGTCCATTACCTCAAAGCGATTTTCCGTAATATACCTCAGATATTCTCCACATAGCCCTGTAACAAATTAAACATAATCACCCTTATCTGATTCTCATAGGTTGATTTTTAATATGCTTTTCACCTGGTGACCACTGGAGAGGCAAGTGAGAAAAAAACAGTTAATAGGAAAATTTTTAAAATTATTATTAATAATAACAGTTGGAAAAAAATAATGCATATGTATATAGTAGTCCCTCATTTATCACAGGGGATCCATACCCTGAAGACCCACGATAAGTGAAAAACGTAGGAATACGTACGAAGTAGGAATAGTACAAGTAGTAAGTAGTAGTTTATTTGAGTATTTATACATATATATATATATATATTTATATATTTTTTTATATATATGAATATATATATATATATATATACAATACATATTATATATCTGAAGGCATTTTAAACCCTTCCCACACTCTTGCAATATTCTAAACAATGTTTCTAAACTCTAAAAGACACAGCATGTCATGATTTCAGCTCCCTGCCTCCTCTACTCTCAGCCACCTGCAAGCCCTCTTGGCCACGCCCACTTCTCTGCACGGTGAACAGCTGATCAGCTGCAACAGGAAGTTTATCCTGCAGCTCTGGGCTGCACAAATGTGCGTCAGGTGCTAAATAATTTATTTTAAATAAAAAATTCCATGACGATCGTGTGGCTCATCCATCAGTCAGCCAATTGTGTGTCATGTCCACTCTGGAAAACCGCGATAGAGCGAGTCCGCGATAAACGAACCGCACAATAGCGAGGGACTACTGTGTATATACAGTATGTATACTGTATATATATATATATATACATATATATATATATATAATCTGGCCTGTTCTCTGCAGGCGTCACCCACAGGTACTTGGAAGAAATTAACACACAAAGCACAAAACAATAAACTAGCCAAACACATCATGAGACTTGAACTTCACGCCCTGAAGACTCCAACATGAAAGCAGAACGTTCTTTCTTAAATCCGGCCACAAAGAAATGCCACAGATCCGGCAGAACACACCCAGAGGGCGACCCAGCTGCTCCGCTGCACCCATCTTCTTGACTTTATTAGACTCCGTCCTGACATTATAAAATGTTATCGGCACAAATAATGTTCTTGACCTTAATATACACAAGTGTAACTAAACAGCCACCAGCACAAGACTGGAGCTTTTAAGTTTCCACTGGAGTGACTGATTAATATGGAGTGTGTGTGTGTGGATACCATTTAAACCCAGCTCTGTGCGCCTCCTGCTCCAGGCAGCAGGGCCTCTAAGACCTCCACTGCTCCCAGGATGTCTTCTTCTATTTGTTCACTCTCTCCCTTTGAGAACTTGGTGCTAGCAGCTTTTTGAAAGAGTTGAGACAAATTTTGAGCCATGCAAACACTTTTTTTCCAAATAAAATTGCTCACATCACGTGTAACTTCCACATTGACCCTTCAAGAAAGAATAAAGAAATAACAAAAGTTCTAATATTTCTTGAAGGAATACGTATCGCCCGCTGCCTTAGACTGACGTCATTTTATGTTCAACCATTTTGCATCAAACTTTGAAAATAACTTTATTGTGTGCATGTTTATGAAGCATTTACACTTTTGTGATCCTTTTTTCTTCCATACATTTTTCAGCATTTTTCTCATTTCACAATTTTTGTTATTTCAACAAATCATACATCAAAACGTTTTACCAAACAACGTGGTATTGGTGCAACTTTAGCTTTTTGAAATATTTGGACTTTTGTGCCTTTTTCTTCTCATAGAAAATGAATTGAGCTCATTTTACATCCTTCAGCTCTTTAGATTTGTTTATAAGCTTTTACTGCTCTTTTCACGTTTTGTTCTGGTTCAGCTTCTTTCAGCTTCTCCTTGTGCAAATTTAAACTTTTTTTTCATCTACATTCAGCTAATTTCAGCTGTTTTTTCAGTTTTGTGTTCCTTTCAGATTATTTCTGCTAACTACAAGATTTTTGTGCTTCTTCTAACTTATCTCTGCTAATTTCAGCTTGTTATGCTACGTTCAGCACATTTACGCAAGTTTCAGCTTTTTCCGCTATTTCAGCTACACTATTTTAGCTGTTTTATGCTATTTTGACCGTTTTCTGTAATTTCCATGTTTTTTTCCTCTCATTTCAACTTTTTTTCAGCCTAATACATGAAAAATGTGTTCTTTCCATTTCCTTCTAGTAATTTAAGCGCTTCTGCTAATTTAGGCTTGTTCTACTTTTTCAGCTAGCTTTTTTACAATTTTTTAGCTAATTTCAGCTGTTTTCAGATCATTTCTAATTTTTTTGTGGTAATTTCTGCTACTTTCAGCTTTTCCTGCTACTTTTAGTTGTTTTGTGCTAAATTTAGCTTTTTCAGCTAATTCCCCATTTTTTAATCAGTTCAGCTCCTTCCACTTCCTTTTGTTAGTTTAAGCTTCTTTCTGCCTTTTCAGCTACTTTTCAGCTTTTTTTATATATAATTTCAGCTGTTTTAGCTAATTTTCTTTTTTTTTTTTTTGCTCATTTCTACTTATTTAAACCTATTTCAGTAAATATGCTTTCCGCTTTCTTCTGCTAACTTAGGCTTGTTTTTCCATTTAAGCTACATTTCAGCATGTTTTTAGCTAATTTCATCTGTTTTTCAGCAAGTTCTTCAGCAATAAGCATTCACACTGCATTTTCCCAGGAAATGCAATTTCTCTAGTTATTATTATGTGATTATACTAGATGTCACACTCGGAGCACATGTTGTGAAAGACTAACAGACAAACAGTCGAATCCGACTGTTAACACTAAAGTTTAACACAAAGACCTCACAATAATGAGTGGTACTTCAAGTGTGTGCTGGGACTGACTCTCAGGTACTAACACACCAAAATGTAGCATCACTTGAATGAGACTGGCTCAAAAAATAATTCAATTACATCCCATTATGATTATGTCTTGATTGTATTCAAACCAAATGAACCATGCCCAGTGGTTCATGAAATATTTTGCTAACAGGCAGACTTGTGACCTAAAAATAGTTAATGGCAAATTTTAAACAGAGCTCTTGCTCTATGTGTTATTGCTCAAAGTATGTGCTGTGGATCAATTTCAGCAAGTAAGACCCCAAATTTGAGCTCACTATCCGTTGATATTTAGCTGTTTTTGTGTTTTTCAGGTCAGTCGTATGCCATCTTGATAAGGCTGACTCCAAAGTTAACGAGTTATAAATGTGATTATAAACATAATTAAATTCTGCACTTTTTACTAAGATTTATTCTGTGTGTCATGAGGTGTTTTGCTAAAAGAAGAGATGCACACGCACGCAGAAACAATGGAAAAAAACAATATTGTTCAGCATCACCTTTCGGAAGCAGGAAATCAAACCTGAGTGAACAGAAAGTAATTTCAGCTCCATGTTGAGCGTAAAAAGATGAACATTTAGGCTGAACGACACTCCTCTATCCTGAGAAGCTTCAGCTGTGTACGAAGAGCCGAGAGAATCTTCACCTTCATTTGAGATGACTCCGGACTCGCTTCAATGGTGGGAAATAAATAGTTTATGAACAGTAGTTATCAGTTATAGTTAAACATTTTGGGCAGAATGGTCTGAACATTGTAACACCGAAAAGCAAATTATGCTGTTTTGTTAAATGAATGAACTTTTTCCTCTTATATAAAATAAAGACTATAAAACACGTTTTTACATTTAGTTCAAAAATAAAAACCTCTTTCCTGTTTAGGAATTTTCAAATAAAACAACTAAATTGAAGCCCCTGTAATATAATATTATATTATTGTCATTAGTCTTTTATTGACTAATAGTTATTTACTATATTGTCATTAAACAGTTAGAGGAAATAATATCTTAGTCATCATAGCTGTGAACAACTGTTTAGCAAAACTTGTTATAAACTATAAAACAGGATATATACAAAAAAATGTCTCGAATATTTACAAGAGTTTCACATATGATTTTGACCAAAACAGAAAAGAAACAAATACAAATTTGATAGACAACAAACTAAAATGTGACACAATCTTTGAATATGGCCTCAGTGCATCAAAGACCACGACATATTTCTACCAAACAAGACACTTAATTTTTTTTGTTATTTATGC